GACTGTATTTACACTGATTTGGCAAAAGCTTTTGATAGTGTGAATATTCGTATTCTACTATTAAAATTGGCTAAGATTGGAATTGGTGATCCTTTACTATCATGGATAGATTCATATCTAAGTAATCGAAGGCAATTTGTAATTATAAATGGGTTTAAATCAAAATGTATAATTCCATCTTCTGGTGTTCCGCAAGGTTCCCATTTAGGGCCTTTGCTTTTCTCTATATTTATAAATGATATCAAAGATGTTATAAAATCTAGTCAGTTTTTACTATTTGCAGATGATTTAAAAATCTTTAAAAAAATTACTTGCCCCTCTGATTGTCATATGATACAATCTGATTTGAACTTTTTAGAATTTTGGTGTAAGAAAAATGGACTAGAATTTAACATACCTAAGTGTAAGGTTTTAAGATTTAGTCGCAAATTATGTTCGGAACATTATAATTATCCATTGTCTTCTATTAAAAAACTCTCTTTTACTTTTCACATAATTAATATTGTTTCTAAAGCAAATAAAATGTTAGGATTAGTAAAAAGAACCTGTAGTGAGTTCACAAATCTTAGATCTTTTATTGTTTTGTTTTCATCTTTTGTAAGGTCGATCCTCGAATACGGTGTTACTATATACTATATGGTCTACTTATTATAAGATGCACAGTCAAAGAATTGAAAAAATTAAAAAAAAAAATCGTCAAATTTCTGTATACTATCAGTTCAAAATATTTTTCAATAGCTATAATTATACTATGATAATAAGTTATTTTGGGCTTACGTTACTGTCTAAGAGAAGAATAATGTTTGATATGTGTTTTGTTTATAAAGTATTGTCTGGTATTGTTACTTGTTCAAATATTTTAATTTTATTTATGATACATGTTCCATCTCGTCAAGTAAGAAATTCTCACTTACTTTCAATTCCATATCATCGTACTTTGTACGCGTTTCAATCGCCTGTTAGTCGTCTTGCTAGACTGACACTTACCTATAATGAAATTGAGTTTGTGGGAATTTCTTACACCAGGTTTAAATCATCGATCCACAGGAAGATTTTAATTTAGTGTTGTAACTTTTGTATGTTTTTATTATTGTAATTGGTTGTTTTTTTTTTTGACCGTTAATAAACATCATCATCATCATCATCTCTAGCAGTAGGTTTGTTGCTTAATTTTGACATTAATGAGACAAGCAAATCTTCCGTAACGTGTCTCATGTTGAAGCTAATTTTGTCAGATGCGACATCGGTGTCAGTAACATTAGTTTTGTCGACGAAAATATTAACAAAATAATCAGCAAAAATGTCAACAATCTGTTGTGGATTTTCAAAATTTTTTCCTTCATAGGTCATTTTGCCAGGAATTCTAGATGTATCTTTCTTTGATTGAATATATTTCCAGAAATCTCTAGGAGAAACATACAGTTCATGCTCAATCTTTTTCAAGTGAGATGCATAAGCAGCGTTAATCATTTGTTTGCATAACACACGAAGTCTCTTAAAATCCTCAAAATAAAATTGGTTGCCGTATTTCTTCCACTTTTTTCTATATGGCTCCTTCAATTTTAGAAAATTTGACATTTTTGGAGAATATTTAGGCACAGACAAATCCAGAATTTTGTAAAGAATGTTATAAAATATGTCTAATGCAGTATTCACATCTTTAACTAGTTCAATTTCAGACCAATCAGCACTGAATATATCATAATATAACTGATCATAGTTAGCTTTTTTAAAGTTATATCCCCAACTGTTTACTCTCAACTTCTCTCAACTTCAATGTCGAGTTCTATATTAGATAAGACGAGATCTAACAACCTATTGTTGACATTAAGTATATTTTTAAATTGTTCAAAATTAAGTAATCGACAAAAATTCTAAAAATTTTGTAAAATATTCGAGGGAGGCAGAGGTACATCACTTCTGAAGTAGGTTAAATTGAAATCACCAATGAAAATAACAGCTTTACTCAGGAACAAGGATTCAAGAACTTCCAAAAGTACTATAAAATCACAAGGTAAAATTATCCAGCCAGCATTTACACACATTTATAAATGATACGTCCAAGGTATCGAAATTAATTGACTGCTTTATGGCTATTAAAACTCCACCCCCTAAAGACTGGCCCAAAATGAAATATTGTAAGTTGAAGAAAAGAGTTCTGAGTTGTAAATTGAATCATTTAACCATGTTTCAGTTATACTAACTATTTCACAAAATTCATCTAAAGTACTAGTGTAGAAAGGATGCAACTTAGATCGTAAGCCACGGACATTCTGATAATATAGATGAAAATGGGTTAGTTTTTTGAGTGTCTGGCATCATTATTATTTTTATGAATAATTTGAGCTAAATTATTACGATAAGTTAGAGCCAGATTCTTTTCACCTCGAGATTTCCTATCATTGAATTGACCAATAACAGAACTATTACATTTTCTCTGCAATATTGTTAGATCCGGGCGGAAGTGAGTTTGTTTATTTGGATTATTTTTATTTGATCGTAAAACAGTCATCGCCTCATCACTATTTTCAAAAAATAAATTGATAGGACGCATAACATTAGGCTTTGCAATACCAAGACGCAGTATCTTTTTTGGCTTAGGGAAAGAATCTAAAGAACCAAAAGGATTAACGATTTCACAAAAATGTTGTAAATCTTCTTTCACACGTTGAATAAGGTCACATTCCTGCTATGATCCATACGATCATTAATTTCAGATACCGCATTATCAATGTCATCCTTATTTTTTATTAGATTAAGCTCAGATTGAAGTTTTTCCACGTTGTCTTCAACCACTTGAATTCTATCGGAAATTTGCTGAAATTTCTCGCTAATAACCTGAGCCAGTTCAAATTTTAACTCCGTTTTTAGCTTATTGAATTGTTTTTGAAGTATCTGCTCTATAGCCGAAAGAGAAATCGGACTATCTGAAGTGGAGTAAGTATTACAAATCCAAGAGCTTTTAGTGTTCGAAGCTCCCGAGACTGTATCAAGACATTTAATATGAGCATATTTTTTGTCACAAAGTACAAATATGACTGAAGAAACTGTAAGTAAGGTGAGAGTGAATGGAATAAATTCCAAAAATTTTTTCAACTATTTGACTACTATTTTGATTTGGCGTTCCCAAACCAAGAAAAAGAAATCAATATAAAAAAAACCATCCACCCAAAACCTTGGCTTAATAATGAAATTATTGCCAGTAGGCGAAGATTACAAGATATGCATAAAATCACAAAAATTTACCCTGAGGTTCTAAAACACAACAAGATCCTTCAAAATCAACATAAAATTATAGTCAAAAAAACAAAAAAAGATTATTATGACAATATTCTAAAAACATCGATGAATATAGGTAAGGATGCTTGGAAAATAATAAATTCGCATCGTCCTAATAGCAAAATAAATAATTTACCAGACACATTAGAAAATTCTTAAAATGAAAATATAACAGGTTGTTTAAATGTAGCAAATAGTTTCAATTCCTTTTTTATTAATTCAATACAGAATATAACAAAAACTTTTAAAAATACCCGTAATGATAACACAAATAGACTACAAAATATTCCATTTAATAAGTATTTGCAGATAAAAATGATCACAATGGAGACAGGGCGGGTGGGCGGGCTTATATTTTGCCTGTTTGTTTTAACATGGTATAGACTTCTTTTCACAACAAGAAGCTTAAAGCATGTTTAAAATGGAAAATTTGTATAAGGAAAATGCAATTAGACTCCGCCCCATAATTGCAAAATTCCTTATTCCTTGCAAAAATGGATATCTTAACCATGTTTTAAGTTTCTTGTCCTGAAAAGACGACTACATATATTATGTCCTTCTATGGAGTGGGAATAGAAACTAATAGAATCTAGGATGTGCAAATAGTAAAAAAAGCGCCAATCCTAAATTTTTTGTTTTACTATTTGCTACTGGAACTATAAAAAATGCTATATTTCAGTTGACGATTTTCGAAAAACGACAAAAATGTTTGAAGAAACGAAGCCGAAAATGATATCTGGATGTGTAAATCTACAAGAAAATGGCAAACTAATTTTCGAAAATGGTTGAAAAAAGGTTGAAAATGTCAAAATCAGTCATTATTTATACAATGCTTGCCCCGCCCACCCGCCCTTATTTTCTTGGAAGATATGCCATCTGCCAAAAACAGTCTTATCTTATTAAGTACTAGTTCCGCCCACCCCGAGTCTTATCATTTTAAAGACTAATTTTATTTCTGCGCAGAATAAGATCATTCATTATATTCAAACCGAATGAAATTAATCACTGAAATGAAGCCAGGGTGGGTGGGCGGGGCTAATTATATCCTTCAATGGAGTGGGAATGGAAACGAATAGAATCTAGGGTATGCAAAAGGTAAAAAAAATCGCTAATCCTAAATTTTTTGTTTTACTATTTCCAACTGGAACTATAAAAAATCCTATATTTCAGTTGACGATTTTGGAAAAACGACAGAAATGTTTGAAGAAACGAAGCCGAAAATGATATTTGGATGTGTAAATCTACAAAAAAATGGCAAACTGATTTTCGAAAATTGTTGAAAAAAACGTTGAAAACTTCAAAATCAGTCATTTCTTATAAAATGCTAGCCCCGCCCACCCGCCCTTATTTTTTTGGAAGATATGTCCTTTGTCAAAAACAGTCTTATCTTATTAAGTACTATCCCCGCACACCCCCTCTCTTCTCATTCTAACGACTAACTTAATTAAATTTATAAATTAACATATTTCTATATGTCGTGATTTATGAATCCGTGTTGAGTTTTTATCTTTAGCAACCAGATTTTTGAAAAAAATCAATCTTGTATAGCAATATGTTACAATTTGAAATTGTAAAACCGAATGCTCTGAAAACTTGTAAGCTTTTTAAGACTACCGTAAAATCTTGAGATTCTAGGTGTTCCTGTTTGGAAAGAATTTGAAAGTGCTTTAGAGCCTCTAGTGTCCTTTCCTATAATAATTTAGTGAAATTTCTTATCGGATATGTCATTTGTCAAAGTCGGTCTTATTTTAACGGGTACTATACCCCGCGCACCCGCCCCCTGTTTTCTTAGAGGATCTCTCATTTGCCAAAGTCACTCTTATCTTAGCAAGTACTAACTTAATTTCTACTCAATGTTTTTAGATCCTGTAGTAATACCAGAGGTATATTACATTATTTCATCTGTGGCTAATAAAAAATCGAAAGAACTAGATGGGATACCGTATTATTTATTAAAATATGTTCCTGAAACCACAATAGGTGTGTTAACAAATTTAATAAGTACTTCATTTAGTACAGGAATTTTCCCAGATGAGCTCAAAACAGCAATAATTGTACCTATACATAAAAAAGGTAATACATCAAAAATGAATAATTACAGACCTGTTGCATTGTTGTCAATTTTTTCAAAAATTTTTGAAAAGGCCTTTTATCGTAGATTATATTCCTTCATAGAAAGACACAATATTCTAAGTGACAAACAATTTGGTTTTAAAAAAGGAGGAAGAACACAAGATGCTATTGTGTCAAAGTTAATGGAGATATTTGATTCTTTAGATGATAAAAAGAAAGTAGTAGGGATATATTTTGACCTAAGCCGTGCATTTGATACTTTGAATCATAACCTCATATGTGATAAACTGGAAGCATACGTAATCGGAGGTGTAGCTTTACAATGGGTAAAAAATTATTTAACAGGACGACAACAGGTGGTAAAAGTTACTTAAAATCAGAGACCCTATTTATCAGATAAAAAAGCCATTAGCACCGGCGTACCTCAGGGAAGCATATTGGGCCCGGTCCTTTTTATAATCTTTATTAATGATTGTATACATTCCCAAAAGAACTATTCATTACGACAATTTGCAGATGATTCATCCGCAATTGTTACATCTAATGATATAGCATCCTTAAGTGTTCATGGAAGTAAATGTGTTTTAAGTATGGAATCGTATTGCTCTAAAAACTTTTTATCTCTGAATAAAAACAAAACATCATATTTGCAGTTTTCGGCTTATCCTAGGCAAAAAAACTTTAGCGTATTAATTAAATCCACTACAGCTTCAGTAAAACATACTAATGTTGTAAATTTTTTAGGTGTGACTGTGGATGAACATTTAACTTGGGAACCTCATATCGATATAGTAGTTAAAAAACTGACTAGCCTGTGCTTCTGTATAAGGCAGTTAAAAGAAAACGTAAATGTGTCAACACTTATGAAATATTATCATGGATGTATAAACCCTTACCTTTCGTAAGGAATTATGTGCTGGGGCAACTCTGTATTTGTAAATAGAATTTTTATTATGCAAAAAAAATTCTTAGATTGATATTTAATCTACTACAAAGAGGTTCATGTCGTCAACTTTTTATAAAGCATAAAATATTAACAATACCCAGCATATATGTTTTGGAATGCATTGGATATGTAAAACGAAATCTACATATGTTCAAGACTAATGGTGATATAAATAAGTACCAAACAAGAATGAGCCATCAATTATATAATAAAAAATGTAATCTTACATTAGTACAATAAGGTCCTCGAGAGGTAGCGGTGAGACTGTACAATCATCTGCCAGAAAATATTAAAGTAATCAATAATGACAAAAAATTTATTAAATCCGTGAAAGTTTTGTTAACGGAAAAAGCTGTCTACTCAAAAAATGAATTCCTTACTATGTAGGTGTTTATATGTATGTTAGTACGTTTATATGTGCATCTCTGTTTTTTGTATTTTTTATATTATTATTTATTAAATTTGACAAGTCTAATGATTGCAGCCCTTACAGACAATAAATTATTATTATTATTATTATTATTATTACTGATATGAATATATAACAAATGCGTTAGTAAAATAAATCACTCACTGCCTTTTTCATTCTAACACGTTTTTTCTTGACCCTTTGGACCCATACAACAAATATCTAAAATTGTCTCCTCATCAAATTCTTCAAAGTCCAAAAAGTAATTAATTAATTGTAACGAATTATTTTTTAAAAGTAATTGTTCCAATCACTGCCTGTGTGTTCCCGGGTGTTAGTAATCTCTAGTCAGATGACAACACATTTCCGCAAGCATATATGTTTTCAAATCATTTCGTCTGCCATATTATCATCTAATTTTGTCAAGATTTTTCCTTAATCGTTAGAATTGTTCCTGTAGTAGCATAAGGTGTAAAAATGTCGTCAGTAATTCCGGAATCCTCGTGCACTTTTCTCGGTGTAGACCGCGATCGGAGCCATTACGCGGCCACCCCCTCCCAGGATCCACTGAAGGACTCCTCGGATGTATGCAGATAAAAATTAATTTCCATCTTGGGTTATTTTATTGGAAAATGCTTCGCTCTCGGCGTCTGCAGCAAATATAAAATACTGCATCTCTGCTCCCCGCGTCTCGGCGAGCACACTCATGATGGTCGCGGTTTTAATTTACAATTTACAGGAATCTCATTAACCGGCTTCGCCTTAATATATTAGCTTAAAAAATAATTAACGCGCGCCCAGACGTCACGGGATTTTTGTTGTGTTTGGAAATAAAATAAAGCGGTGACGAGGGACGGAAGAAGGTTTGTCATTTTAACCAATACTCACTTGCTTAATTAACGGTTCGTGTTACCGAAATGCAATTTCGAGAGTCCGCGCCCTTATTGACGGCGCAGTTAGGGTTACCGATTCTGCAAAAACGCTGTTTGGACTACAAACACGGAAATTTTACAGAAACCGACGGAGGAAATTCGGTTCGGAAGGGGTTATGGGAGTTTTTATGTATTTATTCGGGAAGGAGGAGGGCCGGTGCAGGTTTCGGAACTCAGATCCCGATCGGTGTCAAATTTTTATAAATAAATTATATCAACGGAAAAAAGGTTCAACTCCTGCTTTTCGTATTACCCAGTAAATACAGTTGTGATGTTGACGTGACAGGTACGTACTCACAAAAGAACAATAAGTACATCGCATGAATATGTCTTAACGATATACCTGGAACGTAAGCTATATAACATCACAATGGAGTACTACGGTTATGTAACCAATAAGTAATGTTAACTATAGTTACTAGATATCTGATTAATATATATATACATGCTTCGGAATGTTTTATTGTTATTAGTTAATTATGTAAAGTGTTTTTCAGTTCATTTTATAAAATGGCATGTTAAATCGAAAATTCACGTTTCTGACAGGGCAACAGCAAAAAACATTTAAAAACATACATATCGAGTATTATATAGCTCTATTTTATATTTATTATTTATGTTTGTGTTGCAAGTAAATAGTATATTCATAAACAAAAGATGCTGAGTCTTAAAAAAAGAAATTTCTTCCCTGTCTTAAATCTTCCTGTAATTACATGTATTTATAATTTTATTTTTATACGTCCATAACGACCTGCGCTTTATAAAACAGAAGAAGAGACTTAATGCACATAGTTTATTATCAGAATTAAAAAATGTCCCATCTAACAGGTAATACCAATTAAGACATGTGACATTATTTTTTAACCTCTGCCTATGCGTCACTGCCAAAAGGGAACAATTATACATATACAGAATTTTGAAATGAGCTCGAAAAATAAAATGATATATTTCATCATTTTATTAATTCTAATGCAAAATATGTTGATCGGCAACAAAAGCAACACAAAGAAAAAAATCGAAATTAAAAAACTAATCTATTTCAAGGTCAGCGATATTGTTCTTAAATAAAAATGAATTAAATAACTTCTTCACTTTGATCGTAAGGAAAATAAATAATAATTTGAATACGAAACAATAATTGAGCATCGAGTTTTGTGTATTGACTTTGGCACTCAGTTATAGGTATATCTGTTTAACATTAAATTTTCAAAAGTTTAGATTTTTCCAATGTACTCTTGGGCTCTAAAATAAACTGGTAATGTATAATGTATAATTATAATTGAGTATTTTCGTGGTTGATCTTTAAATTATTATTTATTCAAAAAATTCACTTAATTTCATATCCAATATGTAGCTAAATGAAAACTGATAATAAAGCAGCAATAGAGTGTATGTATAATAACTAGAGAGCGGAAAATATGCAGCAAAATTTTGGGAAATATGATCATATGACATGCATCAAATTTATGCAAATATGCAATAACTTTCTTAATATATGCAGAGATATGCAGTTGCATATGCTCCAAAAATAAAAAAAGCGTAATAACCGAACTAAATTTATTTACAAATTGCAAAAACCTTTTATTACAAAAAATACATAAATCACATTGCAAAGTGTTTAATTAGATCTCACTGACAAATAAATGACATTTTTTAAGATAATATTCTTATACTAAAAAATAAATATAGGTAAACAGAACGAATTAAAAAATAGTAGTAATCGACTATTTAATTACTATTTTGGTAACAATTTATTTTTAAATATTTTTCGAAATATTCTAACAAAAATTTTTCCGGTGATTCTAAAGTATGTATCTGTAAATAGAAAAACTGCGTACTGCGTCCACAGATGTAAAAATACTTATCGGATTAGAGCAGGCACAACAAAACACAGTTTCTTCTTGAAGAATAAGTTCAGGAAAAAGTTTAATTCATAAATTAATTTGAGTTATCTACATATTGACACACATCTCTATCGCTTTAAATACTTAAATGCAAACTCACGATGAAAAATAATAGGATAACGTCCCTTCGACCACCATAAAACATACCATTAATACACTTAAGTAACGAACAAAAATATTGAAATGAACGGTATTTCCAAAAGTAATTATGACCCGAATTTACCTGGAAGGATGGCTTAACACCCAGTGGTTCCTCCAAACTACCATAAAACCCAAACCTTTCCCAGTTATTTGAAGCTCAGGACAATATTTGCAATATGATTCATGAAATTTCGTCTTTCTAGAAAAATGCCGATCGAATTACAGTTTTTTTTTTCAAAGTAGCACAAAAATTGATAAAAATGCAAAATATGCACCCGTTACGTGAAATATGCAGCAGGAGGCAAATGTATGCAAATATGCAATTTTTTATAGCTGTATTCATTTTTAATTAGCATGATTCGTTCACATATTGAATATCAAGAGTTATATGCAAAAAATAACGGATATGCAAATTTCATAAAATCCGCTCTCTAATAATAACCAATACATCGGATATGTTTCTGTTTTTGTTTTCGTTCGACACCACTGTATTTACAGTATTTAAGCAGGTATACGTTTCCGCCCCTAAAATCCCACGTACGGCATCCTTTGCCCACGTAAATACAACATCTGGAGTGAAGACAGAAACAGAAATAGTTTTACAACACCTTATGAAAATTAAAAAAAAAACCACTATGGTATTATTTGAAATTTATTGTTAAAGATTATATGGTCAATTAGATGTGGGTCGTCGTATTCTTTAAAAAGTGACTTTCGTCAGTGAGTTCGTAATGCTTAATTAATAATTATATTCAGAGCGAAAAATACAACGGCTTTATTAGAAATACACCAAAGACAAGTTATTTCTGTAAACTTGTTCACTTGAAATGTTATTTTGTAAGTACCTGCTTGGCAAATTATAAATAGAACATCTGTAAGGTGACCAGATTTCAAAAGTCTGAAATCGGAACATTAGATTCCATTTCCATCGTAATCTGATATATAACTGCTTTGAAAATTTTTAGTTGTAATATACTAACAGTATTGACATTAGCTGACATTTAAAACAGTGCTGACAACCGTATCGATACAAGTTTTGTTCCCAATTTTTCACAAAATAAAATTACTATTCATGAAAATTAGTGATTTATCCGAGGATTTATATTTATTCTTATCAGATTTACAGA